TTTATGAGGCTGATGTGACATTAAAGTGACACCAAACACAGAAGTCGAATCTTGAAAATACATTCAAGTACCTTATCTATTACCAAAAACGTATCATATTTGTGTATCCCTCGGCTGTGGATCCTCAAATCATCTCTGAATTCTGCAATAAAACAATATGCAATATAATGTTTATCCCTAAGCTGCCCAGTGCTACAAATCTACCATCTGTATGAGTTCTGTAATGCGTCATACAAAAATGATAGCCTCATGTAGTGCAATTTGTTTGGAATGTAATCATTTAGTAAAATGACAACCAAAACCTCTTTTGCAGGGTGGGAAAAGCTTAGAACAACTCCACTTGGGTTTTTTTGGCTGTCTATATCCCCGTTAGGTTTTTACTGCCTTCCTGTTGGTCCCTCACTTCCTGAGACAAGCTGAAAGTGAAAATCTTCACAAGGTTGTCACTGGCAGAGGTGACTGACACATTTTTTCAAAGGTTGTCACTGGAAGTCAGGGTGCGTTTCCCCAACAGGCACACAGCGATGAAAAGCTGGCAGAAATTCCGGCCCTTCCGCACTCAGTCCAAAACAAAGTCATACAATCTTTTGGCTAAAGTTGAAATTTAAAGCTATGGGGTAAGTGTTTTTCCCCAAAGTTCTCTTTAGGGTCACGGGAGGACATATACTAACCTCCTCCCGTGACCCAAAGCTCAGTATTTAGCGGGCTATTGCCCGCGATATACTGACAGTGCTGCAGCCGGGGCGGATCCGACAATACTGTCGAGATCCACCCAGCTGCGTGAGTGACAGCGGGCTCTGCCTATCTAGAGGCAGAGCCAGCTATGTCCGCCCACTTCCCCGTTCGTTCCTCCACTCAGCACTGGAGGATCGGAGAGGGGGGATTCCTTCTGCTGACTGCAGGGAGATGATCGGGAAGTGAGCGGATCGGTGCATGTTTCTACTAACTTCCCGATCAGTAGAGCCACCCTGTGACAGCTTCTTTGTCACAGGTCGGCTCTAACTGTGAGGATGAGTGAAAAACACTCACCTCATAGTTCTCCTTTAAATCTTGTTTTGGATAGATGGCAGGGGCTCTTGGAGCATTTTTGTCCTCACCTTATGTTTGCTGCGTGGGAATAGGACTAAGTTATAGTAAAAGGTAAGCTTCCTTTTTTCTTTTAAAAGAAATGTCGTGTTCAGTGTACATACAAGGGTGACTGGTATTGTACAGAGACAAACAAGAACGATATTAGACATAAGTGCTCTGAGAAATTCAGTACACAAAAGCCTTTTTTAGTTCTTAGCTTGTAAACGCTAATCTGATAAGCATTTACAAAGTGTTTAAAAAGCATTAAGCACCTTCCTTGAAGTCCTCTATGTACCCTCTGGCTCCAGTCTTGGGTGTCTAACACAGACCTTAAAGGACAACTTGACCTTTTGTTGAATTTGCCCTTTAATAAATCCCCCACCCTCCTGACTGCAGCCCACCTGGAATAATACATGTCTTCCTCACTAATCCAGCAAACTTTCCTCAAAAATGGGTCCCAGCCGGCTCTTTATACTACGAATGCCCACTGTGGCCCCATTTGTTCTATGGTTAGCCATACTGTTCATGGCCTCCAGCAGTCCCTCCTAGTAAGGCTATGAATGAATGAGCCATGACATCCCCCATACATGGTGGGAGGGGGTGGTGACAGTGTATCATTGGGGGTGCAGTGATGACAGAGTATGATTGGGAGTGCAGTGATGACGGTGTATGATTGAGGGTGCAGTGATGACGGTGTATGATTGGGAGTGCAGTGATGACAGACTATGGCTGGGGGCAGGGCCGGCCTTAGGGGTGTTACGGTGTATGATCGGGAGTGCAGTGATGACAGTGTATGATTGAGGGTGCAGTGATGACGGTGTATAATTGGGAGTGCAGTGATGGCAGAGTATGATTGGGGGTGCAGTCATGACGGTTGTATGTTTGGGAGTGCAGTGATGACAGAGTATGATTGGGGGTGCAGTGATGACAGTGTAGCAGAGCCTGGTAACCTTGCTGAAGGACGCAGCAGTCTTTCTTGACGTATGTAAATAGCACAGGGGATGGGGAGGCGCCTGCAAATAACAGGAACCAGAATCAGGCTGTGAGTGCAGCCAGAGTTCCGGTACGGGAGCACAGAGACGTGGCGGAATAGCCGTGTAATGTGGCTCCGATCGCCCCGGGGAGGGCTCACGGCTGCAGGACCTGGGCACATTTATTAGGGCGTTCAGCTGCCATGCTGCAGAGGGGATCCGAGCTTTGCATTGCGATCGTTGTGTGCTAGGGGAGGCAGTCCATCAGGTGACACACTCATAAACCACATCTGCTTTTTTTTTCCTCTCCTGTTTTAGCCGTGCAAGCCATGCAGGATGATTTACTGATGGACAAAACCAAATCCCAGCAGCGGCAACAACAACAACAGCAGCAGCAGTCAGCCCCCGGCTCCCAGACTCAGCAGCAAGACAGCAGCAGCTCAGAAGCCCCCTGTGCAGCAGAGCCCCCCAGCTCCGACAGCGCCCCCACCCTGAAGGAGAAGATGCAGATGGAGTCTCCCATCCTCCCGGGTCTCAGCTTCCCCCAGCAGGAGCCCCCCGCCGGCCCTTCCCTGTCCCCATCGTTCGGGAGCACCTGGTCCACCGGAGGCAATAGCAGCTCTGTGGATGACAGCTATTTCCAAGGGGTTCCCCCTGTCAATGGGACTATGCTCTTCCAGAACTTCCCCCATCACCACGTCAACCCCGTGTTCGGGAGCACCTTCTCCCCACAGCTGGGGCTCACCCATCAGACTCATCAGCAGCAGAGGAGATCACCTGTCAGCCCCAGCAACCAGCCCCCCTATAACCAGAGAAACGCTTACAGCCACCAGGCTATCCTGACCAACAAGCCTTCCTCCTCCTCTTCATCACCATCCCCTTCCAGCTGGAACAACCACCAAAATGCTGCCTGGAACAACCCCTCCAACTCAACATGCTGCCTGGAACACCCCCTCCAACCCCTGGGTGGGACTGCAGCCCGGGAGAGACCCCCGCAGGGCAGTAGGAGTCGGAGTAGGTGTGGGAGTTGGGGTCCCCTCACCCCTCAATCCAATCTCCCCCCTGAATAGAGTATGATTGGGGGTGCAGTGATGACGGTGTATGATCGGGAGTGCAGTGATGACAGTGTATGATTGGGGGTGCAGTGATGACGGTGTATGTTTGGGAGTGCAGTGATGACAGAGTATGATTGGGGGTGCAGTGATGACGGTGTATGATCGGGAGTGCAGTGATGACAGTGTATGATTGAGGGTGCAGTGATGACGGTGTATAATTGGGAGTGCAGTGATGGCAGAGTATGATTGGGGGTGCAGTCATGACGGTTGTATGTTTGGGAGTGCAGTGATGACAGAGTATGATTGGGGGTGCAGTGATGACGGTGTATGATCGGGAGTGCAGTGATGACAGAGTATGATTGGGGGTGCAGTGATGACAGTGTAGCAGAGCCTGGTAACCTTGCTGAAGGACGCAGCAGTCTTTCTTGACGTATGTAAATAGCACAGGGGATGGGGAGGCGCCTGCAAATAACAGGAACCAGAATCAGGCTGTGAGTGCAGCCAGAGTTCCGGTACGGGAGCACAGAGACGTGGCGGAATAGCCGTGTAATGTGGCTCCGATCGCCCCGGGGAGGGCTCACGGCTGCAGGACCTGGGCACATTTATTAGGGCGTTCAGCTGCCATGCTGCAGAGGGGATCCGAGCTTTGCATTGCGATCGTTGTGTGCTAGGGGAGGCAGTCCATCAGGTGACACACTCATAAACCACATCTGCTTTTTTTTTCCTCTCCTGTTTTAGCCGTGCAAGCCATGCAGGATGATTTACTGATGGACAAAACCAAATCCCAGCAGCGGCAACAACAACAACAGCAGCAGCAGTCAGCCCCCGGCTCCCAGACTCAGCAGCAAGACAGCAGCAGCTCAGAAGCCCCCTGTGCAGCAGAGCCCCCCAGCTCCGACAGCGCCCCCAGCCTGAAGGAGAAGATGCAGATGGAGTCTCCCATCCTCCCGGGTCTCAGCTTCCCCCAGCAGGAGCCCCCCGCCGGCCCTTCCCTGTCCCCATCGTTCGGGAGCACCTGGTCCACCGGAGGCAATAGCAGCTCTGTGGATGACAGCTATTTCCAAGGGGTTCCCCCTGTCAATGGGACTATGCTCTTCCAGAACTTCCCCCATCACCACGTCAACCCCGTGTTCGGGAGCACCTTCTCCCCACAGCTGGGGCTCACCCATCAGACTCATCAGCAGCAGAGGAGATCACCTGTCAGCCCCAGCAACCAGCCCCCCTATAACCAGAGAAACGCTTACAGCCACCAGGCTATCCTGACCAACAAGCCTTCCTCCTCCTCTTCATCACCATCCCCTTCCAGCTGGAACAACCACCAAAATGCTGCCTGGAACAACCCCTCCAACCCCTGGGGGGGACTGCAGCCCGGGAGAGACCCCCGCAGGGCAGTAGGAGTCGGAGTAGGTGTGGGAGTTGGGGTCCCCTCACCCCTCAATCCAATCTCCCCCCTGAAGAAGCCTTTCTCCAGCAATGTGATTGCACCCCCTAAATTCCCCCGCGCTTCACCGCTGGCCCCCAAATCCTGGGTGGAAGACAATGTGTTCAGGACGGATAACGGAAACAACCTCTTGCCCATGCAGGTAATCAATCATGTGTGTTTTGCTTGTTCACCTTTAACGTCAGCAAGGGGTTAAAAAGGCTTGTGATTTATTAGACTAGGTACACAACACTAATCAGCCCATAGCAGGTGACTGGCCCTATATATGTATATGGGGGCCCATGTAACAGGTTCACCATCTAGATCCTTGACATCTGCTGCAGGTTCTGATCTATGTACAGTGTATGCACTATGGTGAAGCTGTCAAGTGTATCATTTGTCGATGAATAATATAGAATCGAAGAGCCGCAGCAGAAAAGGGGTCGTGTAGCTCACAACATACAATGACGCAGGTTGATTTGGCAGTATGTTTAGTAAACGCTGGAGGGATTGTTTACTCTATTGTTGGTTGATGTGTGTTTTATGTTGTTTTTATATAAGTACTAGTTCACACCAAGTGCGGAGCAGATGCAGAGCAGTTTAAGAAGGCATCAAAAACACTTCCCATGTATTCCAATGGTATTTTGGGCTCTAGTTCACAACACAGCTTTTAGTTCCAGTGCATGTAAAAAAACTACTGCATGCCATATTGTTTCTGTTTGGGAACGCAACAAAATGCATGCAAAGGCTCTTGAATGCACTGGCTCACACCTGAAAGCCCATTTTGAGCTTAAAAATGAAAAAATGCACTGCATATGCAGAAACGCATCCAGATCTGGTGTGAACAAGTCCTTTTTAATGTTTTATAAATCGAGATCATGGTTATCTAGGTTACTTCACTCAACAATATATTAACCCTCCTTACCATCTTGTCTTGAATTGTATTGTAATTGTATTGCCTTCCTTATATTGTAAAGCGCTACGCAAACTGTAGGCACTATATAAATCCTGAATAATAATAACCAGGAACATTTCCTGATGCACTCACAACATCTCTATATCCTTTTTGATTAGCACTTCCCCAATGATTGTACTGTTGCAGCCTTTAGTAAATGTATATAAACATTTTCCCAATGTATCTGTTGTTGTTGTTTACACATATTTGTATCCCGATTCAGCCCGCGTGGTCAATATGACGGCACCGGTTTACCATGAAGCTGTCTTGTTTTGTATAGTTCAGCAAAGAACAGAACCGAATGATATGACATACATTTCTATTTCAGCAGGATAAGAATAATAAGTTGTTTCCTACATGAAACATTTTGTGTGTAGCAGAGCCTGGGAGGGCACCTCTGCGAATTCAGTTTGTTGAGAAATGATGAGGACCTCGAGAGCAAAGGCAAATGTTTGTATAATCCTGTAACAGCTGTTGGACAAAGCGGCTCTAAAAATCCATTCATTATATATAGCACAAGGTGTCTGACGGTACCATTCATTTGTTCCTGTCGCAGGAGCTTTCTAGGCCTTCCGCTGGAGTATTCCCCTCTCCGAAATTCAAATGTATATAGAATATAAACGCACCAAAGTTCCCATTTTGAAGGCATTCAGGACACCATTTTGGATGGGCTGTGGAGAAAATGTGTGGATGGTCGGGGGTTTGTGTTGTTGTTGGGCATATTGTGTTGTGTTGGCAAGCTTTGTCAAGTTGAATTAGAAGCCACCTTTTTATATTGCTGGCCACTTCTAATATCAATTCGGAAATCCTGCAGTGAGATCTTCGTGCCGACTTTGCCTTCATGCCACAGCTGTTACAAGGGCTTTCATTTCTCTATCCTTTTGTTCTGCAGTTCAACAGCTAACCTATTTCTAATTAAATTGGCCATAGCATGTGTATATCAGTAGGACTATCACAGCCCTGCAGAATCTGCTGGACAGTAGGTAAATAATACTGCTGTTGAAGTGCGACTTTCTGACAATTGTAGGGTAGTGTTCTCTAAAAATTCAACGAAGCTGGCCGGCATTGCAGCCTATTGGGGTTGTCCCAACACTGACATGTTTTTTTGTGGCTTAACAGAAAACTGGTTGTTTAGCAAAGGTAACAAAGAGGGGATGTATATCTCTCATTGGATACTGCAAAAGCCTGTTCAGGTGTAATGGAAGAAAATTGGCAGTCTTACTATACTAAAAATAAAATGTTATCACCTCTACCCTGTCTTGCAGTATTGAGCTCATCAGGCGGGTAGTGTTCACCTAGTTTATAATGACAATATACTTTGATGAGCTTGTGAATCTCCATTTATGAGCCGTTTTGGCCCCATCCACACCAACATCACAAGGTACTCGCTAGACCACAGAGGGTCTGTTGACCTGCGATTGTACCATGAGATGCGTTCCGTTGCATTTTTGTTTTAGGCTTTTGTTTGGCCAAGCTTTATGTGAAGTAACATATCCAGAGTGGACATACTTCCCTGTAATTCCCTGTCCCCTTCACACCCATTCATTTTTTGTTCCCCTTGCGTTACCAGCCAATAGAAAACGGATTGCAGGATCCAGTGTGAATGGGTGCTTAAAACATAAGAGTGAGGGGAGCCATCTGAACCCCAAATAATGATGTATTAAGTGTCTTTGTAGGTGCATGGCCTTCAAAAAGCATATAACAGAGTGGCTATGAATGCATCTTCTGATGGCTCAACCCAGTGATTACACTTTCTCACAATCCATGATGAATTATTTCCCCCCAGCAGACCTGTGAATAGTAGCAGATACACCCCAATAACTGTGGACAGATCCAAACTGGACAATTATGGCATGTGTTCACTGCTGTGTAGCAAGTCTTGTTTCCAGGGTAGTCCTCAGCCTTTTGGCTATTCCCCATTTGATAGTAGGAGATTTTTGATCATACAGTAGCTTGGGCAGTCATCACCCATGTAACAGAGTTCTGAAGGCCTCATTCAGAGGGGCAATAATATTGTTGGAGGAATGCAGCTGGAAAAGCATTGCTGTCAAGCATATTGTTGTCTATAGGACAGGCTCCTTTCTCTTCTAAAAAGAGGGTAGCTGTCAGATAAGCAGTGCAGGTTCGCTATACAGTACATTTTATTATCCAGTGTGGCCTAGGAGTTGTGTATTCATTTGGATGGTGGTTGTATGATAACTCTGATGAGCATAAATACAGGTCTGGATGTGGCAAGGAGAGCAACAGCTTAGGTAAATCTGTAACCTTTTCCAGTACAATAATAATGCTGCCACCTCCCCAGTGCCTTCACACACCCCTCCTCTATTTACATAGCATCTCAATATCCTGAAAATCTGGCTTGCTCTATTATGGAAATGGTAACCAAATCGCTTATGGCTTGTCTGTTACTGCACTTCTTGTATTCGTATTGTCCACAAAGACTGATAAGTGGCCTTCCCTTGCCAATAGAGATATAAAGGTAGCAGGAGCTTGCTCTATAATGGAAATTTCCAAACTAAACCGCTTATGGTTGCACCATGGCTTGCCTATTACTGCCATTCTTGTATTTGTATTGTCCACAAAGAGTGATACGTGGCCTTCACTTGCCAATAGAGATATAAAGGTAGCAGGAGCTTGCTCTGGAAATCAGACTAAACCGCTTCTGGCTGCACCATGGCTTGCCTATTACTGCAATTCTTGTATTCGTATTGCCAATAGAGATACAAGGGTAGCAGGAAGGGTCAGGCTGCAGTAGTTGTGGTTGCTGTTTTTCATTACACAGCACAGAGTGCCAGGACACTATAAATAATAGAAGCTTGGATGCCGGCATTGCAGGGGGGGAAGCTTGCATAATCATACTACCGCCCAATTCTTTCATTTGTACTGCATGTTTCCAGCATAAGTGACTGTTGGACTGGACAGGTTAAACATTCTTTCAGAAGAGTAATGATGATATTTTATAACATATTTTATAGTTTGCTTTCAATGTATTTTTTTCTGCATTGTTTCACCTCCTGTGTCCTCCCATCATTTTTGATTTTCAGATTGGTGGGTATAGTAGTAGCAATAGTATATGATTGAATAAGAAAACCTGAAGTATTTGGTGTGTTGCCATAAACGTAATTGCTGCCCACTTGTATAAGTAGTGCATTGCAGAATTATTCTGTCAAATCTGGACTGATGTTGCAGGACCTTTTTATCAAGGTGCAGACCAGGGGTAGCCAATCTTCAACCCTCCACCTGTTGTAAATCTACAAATCCTATCGTGCAACTTCTTCTGCAAGCCTTTCTCTTGCGATACACAATGGGATTTGTAGTTTCACTACAGTTAGAGGGCATAAGTAGACCTACATTATATCTACCATTGTCAAACAAATATTTAAATAGGGGCAACAAACATGTGATATCATTATAAACAGTGTCATAAATCTCATGCAACCGAGACCAAACCAATCTATAATTATTTTCTTTGTAAGGTACTTTTAACCTGCATTGTTCCTACAGATCCCCACCAATCGCAGAAATGAAAAGCTAGGTTTGGGAACAGACGATTATCTCCTCACATTCTGTGTAGGGATGGCAGGGCTCCTTGTATACCAGATGTCAGCAGTGCTCGGCTTTTAGACCCCATTCACACTGAGCGATTTGTAGGACGATTTCGGCTAAACAAATCGCTCAAACATCAGCTCAATGTAGCTCATACAATGCATTTCAATGGAGCTGTTCACATCTCACAGCTCAATGTCGCCTGTAGCTTGTAGCTCAAACTTGTCGCTTGAACATGACCTATTTTTCAGCAGATTTTGTGCGATTTAGCCAAGTAGACTTCAATGACATTGCGCTACAGAAGTGTCAGAAATATAAGCAGGAACATAAGCCGGAAGAGGAATTATGTCACATCAAGAACGCTTTTGATTGGATACAGCCCAATGTAGCAGCTACAAAGTCCATGCCAAAAGTAGCGCTACGTAGCGTGACTATGTGCACTGTAGCTCAATGTCTCTCAAAGTCGCTCAGCTCAAATCAGAGCTGTAGCTCAGTGTGAATGGGGTCTTAGGGGTTGTGGTTATGGCCTTACCGGGGAGCCAGGTGCTTTCACTAGAATCATTGTAATGTTACTATCACAATCAGGGTGCACGTCACCTTAAGGGAAAAAAGCATTTGTGTAATCAACGAGTGGCAGTGAAAAACTGCTAGACACAGGCCAGGTTAAAGCTCACTCAACACTTAACTCTCTCGTGTATTTAGCACTTTCTGTCACATATTTAAACCTCTTGCTACACAGAATATCCCAACATTACTTGACGGAATGCCTTTTAGATGCAAGTGTATTTGTGCTCATTTTTATTTTTTATTCCACTTTTAGCAAAGGCCCTTCCTAAGAATAGACAACATGAAATACTGGCTATTACCTCTGCTATAGTTTTACTTTGCTACAGGGGTGACTCTCCATGACTTCATGCCCATCCTTGCCAATTAGGCTTCATGCACACAGGCAGAAAAATAACCGCTGCTTTAATGCCCCATTCACACCGAATCCGTTAGCATCCCATTTTCCACAGATGTTAATGGTTGCCAACGGAAGGGAACCCGAAAAATGTATGAGTGTGAATGGGACCAGTTCACACCGCTGCAGTGTGCTGCTAAAAAAAAAAAGGAGCATACTCTACTTCAGCACAACACATCAAAAATGGATGTCAGCAGAACGCAAGTAAAAAAAAATAAAACCAAATACATAGAAGTTTGTCCACTCGGGATATTAATTAAAATAGAGATTGACAAAAAAAAGAACTCAACGGAGTCTGAAATTGCAAGTCAACAGACCTCGGTTGATTTAAATTTTCCATCTTATTTTGGGGTGAACACGGCTCTATTTTAGCTAATGTGTCCATGCACATTGAGGCATTTAGATCCGTATTTTAGAGCAGTGTTCTGGGGAATAAAATTAAAATGCCCCAAACACAAGTGTATACATCTATATTCATTCTTGTGGCTAGAATAAATTAATATTCTAGTGAATAGAATTTGTTTATGTGCACACTCCTCTTTTTAGCTTTGATCTTCTTGTAGATTTTAATACGCCGGTCTACATGAGCCCTCAGCCACTACAACCTATCACATAAAGCCTTTTGTATACAGACCGCAATAGCTCAATGTGAAATATACACAAGTGAATGACTAGATTATTATAGGGTGGCTCAGTCTGAGGTTCAGTCTTCGTTTGTAGAAATAGCCTGACCAGCCCTTGTAAATATATCTAGAACATATCATCTAAAAGACCCATCCTCTTAATGTTTGGCATTGCATGTACAACCTTTATTCTACAAACACTAATTGTAGACGCATACTGAAATATGTCACATCCTGACTATGTGGCACGTTGCACAATAAATGGGTGTATACTCCTGAAGAACTGGCTTTTTTATACTATAGAGATAAGTATAGCTTTATATTTATCCCATTCTAATTTTAGTCATTCCAAAGGCAACCAAGTATGCCAGGAAGTGACAGTTGCCCTTTGTATGTGTGTCTCTGTGATTGAAACTGAGCTCAGAGTCTGATAAAGAAAAGTTACAGCATCCATAGGAAGGGAAACCAATCCTTTCAATGCATGTTGATCGCAATGAGTTGAAAGCAATCATTATAGCGGGTATCAGCACTCTTGAGTTTAAAGTAGAACTATGGCTCCCCCATTAAAAGAAAAAGTGCTATAGCACACCTTTTGAGTCACAGCATACATTCTGAGCCTGTCAGTGAAGTCTACCTAATGCACCTTCCTGTAGTGGTGTGGCAATGATGCCGCACTGCTCCTGAATTTACAGAAGAGTTGCCACTCTAATATAGGCTGTGCCTGCTTGCACTACAGTAGGATGAGAAGATGTTGCAGGGGGGAATGGCTATCCTCTTTGTCACTGCTGATTCACAAGCCCATAGCTTGTGAATCAGCACCTGGCCACACCTGGTCGTGCCAATTGATTTTTTAGATTGACAACACTGCCTCTGTTGCTAAAACCCTGTGAGCTGCAGTGTCTGGGAGGGGGAGCATGTGAGAAACAATGAGGATTTGGCTCAGATAGGGAAGGTTAAAAACGTTTTTGTTTTCAGAGTGGAAGTCTATACATTTTCTTTAGGGATTGTAACTCCTTCCCATTAAACCTATCGGGCATCTATTATTTTTTTTCCTTGCAGTCTGTGACTTCATATAGAGACTTCCCTTCCTGTCCCAAGTGGCAACAATAACTAGGACAGGAAGTGAAAGGAAAAATAATATAAAAAACCTGAGGGTCTTACATTTCCCCACACTAGTAAAAACCAAAAAAACTATTTCTGTCTGTGTTCTTTTCTCTTTATGTCCTTTCACTAGGTGGCAACAGATGTGATTTAAAAAAATGGTCACCGCTCTAATGGGGACCCCTCAGTGAACATACCAATCTGTATGAATAAAACCTGCATGTTACAATAGAAAACCGTAATATAAAAAAAAAAAAAAAAGCTATGGGGGGAATTTATCAAAATTTGTGC